TGCCCTGCCAGCAGGCCGAGAGGTGGTCTGAGGGAGAGCCCTGCGAGGGGCTGAGAGCTGTTGGCGGGCAAGGGTGGCATGGGGAAGGTGCAGGCAGCAGGGAGCCAGGGTGATGCCAGCTCCCATCTGCCCTTGCACTTGTGGCCCTGGCGATGGTCCTGAGCATGGGGTGAACCTCAGAGGGAGGCCAAGGCCATCACACACCTTTGTCCTCAGAGTGGTGGCTCGTGAGATGGAGGAGCTAGGGCTCTGCACCATGAGTGTTTCTGTCACCTTGGAGAACCGGCCTTGCCCCTGGGCACCCCCCTGCCCCGTGCAGGCGGCTGGGTGCTGACATATCGAGGTGATATCCCACCGGCAGTGACAGTGATGAGGGTCACTTCCCAGATGGCGCAGCTGGAGGTACAGGGCCAGATTTTGCACTGAGGAAATGCTGTCAGTTTGCAGCGGCCAATGTAGCAAATCCCACAGGATTTAAACAATCCCCCGTGACTTAAGCAATGGGTTCTGGAGGCTGGAGTCCAAGGACAGAGTGTCATCAGTGGTGGTTTCTCCTGAGGCCTCTCTCCCTGGCTGTAGACGGGGTCTTCTCCCTTCATACTCACATGATTGTGTGTGTGTGTGTGTGTGTGTGTGTGTGTATCTGGGTCTTGATCCCCTTTTCTTAAAGGGATACCAGTCATACACAACCTCAAGGACATTTTACCCTAATAGCCTCCTTAAGGGCCCTCAATGCAAGTAGTCACATTCTGAAGAAGAGGGGATTAGGGCTTCAGTATACGAACTGGGGGGAAGACCCAGTGGAGCCCATCACGGGCCCCAATGCTCAGCCTGACCCTGAGCATTTTTTGGTTCCCCTCACCCAAGCAGCTCACCTCTTTCTCCTGAAGCCTCAACCCACCACTTTCAGGGTGTCCACGTCCCTGTCCCTTTTTTTGTCCCTATCTATGCATGGGTAGTGGACCCTGAATCCCATTCCTCCCTAATCTCTAGAAATTTCCACTGTGTGCTATCCTCAGTTCCTCTGCTCCCCACCCCTGCCACAGGTACACTTTTTAAATAACTGTAATAGATTAAAACAAATCCCATTTTAGGTGTTTTTTTAAACAAAAAATGTCTCTAGGCTTCTCTTTCCCCATGCGTGCACAGAAAGGTTGAAATAAACATGGGGGGCTGCACGGGGAATTTTATAAACATCCTTGGCAATTCTTAAAAATTAAAAAATGTTTTAATTTTTTGGTACCAGGTATTGAACTCAGGACCTTGGGCTTGCGAGGCAGGCACAGCGCCACTGAGCTAAAAATCCCTGGCCCATTTCTTAAACTCTTAACAATGATGATTTCTGGGTCAGTTACAAGAAACCTCCAGGGATCCCTCCCTCCTCCCTGTAGAAGAAGTACTGGCAGGTGTGTTGGGGGAATTCAAAAGCACAGAAAACTATTCCATTGCCCATTGCTCAGTGGCATTTCTGGGGTCCTTGTGACATGAAAGGATATCTAGCAAATTGCCCAAACCAGGCAGGAATTCATGCACTGGAGTCAGATTTAGGAACAGGGAACTATTATTCACCCCATCTTACAGATGAGGAAACAGACTCAGAGAGGAAAAAGGAATATCCAGGGTCTCCTAGCTGATGAGGGCACAGCTGGAGTCTCGGGTCTGTTTCCAGCCTCGCACTGCTCATGGTGAGAGAGGGAAGCTGAGGCCTGAGGCTCTGCTAGGGCCCTGCAGATGCACCCCACGATCAGCACACACATTCATGTGGGCACACATACACGTTTGTGTGTGTGTGTGTGTGTGTGTGTGCGCGCGCGCCCAGTAGGGTGTGGATGGTCCCAACACAGAGCAGGCATGTGGCTGGATGAAGGGTGGTGCTAGGGACCTTGAGGCTCACATGGCCTCAGGGCTGCAGGTGGGGTCGCTCTGTCCTTGGCACCCTTTGATGTCTGTGCAGACTCCTGCCTTTCCCAGCATGCATCTTCCTGCCCTTGGGCTCCCATGGAAATATTTTCAGATAAAGTTGTGGGCCAAGTTGTTCTGCACAGAAAGGTCTTGATCAACGGACTTTTACTCCATATGGTACATTTTGGGGGGCTAGCCCCTGGGGGAGGGGGCTGGGAAAGGGTTCGGGGCTGGCTTGGCTCTTTACCACACTGCCTCGCCATAGTCCACTTTTGCCCCTAATTTGTGTCACAGGCATCTTCACAGTCTGCACCCCCAGAGGGATAGGTGGCCCATGCTCTGTAGAACTGATGGCAGCTACTTGCCTTCTTGTAGCTCGAGTCCAGAAAACTGTCCTCTAAGACCAGACGTGACAAGGAGAAACAAAGCTGTAAGAGCTGCAGGGAGACCTTCAACTCCATCACCAAGAGGAAACACCATTGCAAGCTGTGCGGGGTGGTGAGTGTGGTGGCCCCCAGGTGGGCAGCAGCCCCTGGGGCGCAGGCGCTGCTTGAGAGCTGGCCCGAGCACACATCAGTGGGCCCTTTGAGGACTTCTCTGTTGTAACCAGATTTCTCGGCTCAGCTTAGGTGTCTGACAAACATTCTTTACTGCAGAAAAGGGGCTAGTTTGCAAGCACAGTGCCCCTGGCTGGGCGTGGATGAGAACAAAGACATGATAATGCGCACTGCAAGGCAAGGAGGAGGCGTGGGGGATGAAGGGTGTGGCCCTGGTGGAACTGCCCCGCTGCTGGCCTTTGGCCCAGCACCCCGGTGATGACAAAGTGCCTTTGTGTAACGAGCACCCACCTCTGACTGGTGCCCCAAGCGGGCACCAACTCCATTCCTCTTCAGTCACCTCCTGTGCCCTGACTTCCGAGAATGGGCAGCTGAGTCACTGATCAGTACTGAACTCAAAGGTAACCCAAGGGAGGAACTAGTGATCCAAATATTTTTAGGTTAAGATATTAAAGTTGCATCTATATTAGCGAATGGATCTTAGCACAGAGCGGCCTGGGGGCTATTTTACTAAAGGATACCAGCAGCCTGTGCCGAGACCAGTGTTCCTTGTTGTACCTTTTCGTAAAACCTTGGCATGCTGACTGGAGGTGGCAGAAGGGGAGAATGAATGGATGAGTCCTTGGATGAGTGATGTATATAAGGATGATGGCTAGATGGATGGGTGGTTGGATAGATAAGTGATTGGTGGGCGGTAGGGATGCATGGATGGATGGCAAGTAGGTGGCCTGGTAGATGGGCAGAGGGGCACGGGGAGCACAGGATCTCTCCTAGGCTATGGCTCAGGCCCAAGATGTGCACAGGCTCTGGGCAGCCAGCAAGGCCAGGACGAGGATTTGCACGGGGAGTTCCAGTGACCACATGCAGGGTGCAGAGTGAATGGAAGAAGGTTAGAGGCTGGTATCTTCAGTGAGGAAGGAGTGGGAGGGCTGCCTCACCCAGTACCGGTGCTGTGCTGGGCGTGAAGGAGGAGCCCAGGCCAGCTGACAGCAAGTGAAGAGATGGCCAGCGAGTGCCCGTGCAGTGGCCCAGTGGGAGGGCTCAGTTGGCCGTGCCAGGGTGAAGACACTGGGAGGCAATGCAATGGCGCTCTGTGGGTTCCCCAGTGTAAATGGGGTCAGGAGGGCATGGGAAACAGTCCCAGGACAGGTGAGCAACTCAAGAGAGGAGGTCCATGCTACAAGGACCCACAGGTCCCGGAACCAAAGTCATCCCTGCATTTGGCCATGAGGAGGCCAGGATGGTGTGACCAGGCAACACCAGCCAAGGGTGTGCAAATGTCCAGGGCAAAGGAGAGTCTGAAGGAGTGAGTGTGGACGGTGCTGCGTGAGGGGAAATGTCATGTGCTGGGGTGAGAGACAAAATAACGGACAGCCTGAGGAGCAGAGGGGTCTGCCAGTGGGTGAGGCACAGCGGAGACCAGGATATTGAGAGTCCTGGAAGAGTCACCCGGGCCTTTGGCTTCATTCCCCTGCACTACCCGTGTGCCCGATGTTCCCCATGGTACGGATAGACCACGATTTCTTACGCGTCCATCAGTGCACACTGGGTTGTATCACCTTCTGGGTCTCACAGGTGGTAGTGGTGTGGACACAGCTGGGCAAAGGCGTCTTCAAGGCCCCGCACCAGGTTATTTTGAATATATACCCAGAAGTGGCTTTGCTGGGTCACCCTACTGGGTGATCCTGTTTAAATTTCTGAGGAACCGCTGTACCATTGCTGCCCCCTTGTACATCTCACTGGTAGCCCAAGGTCTTGTGGCCTGGGTGTGTTTATTTCTTGTTTCTGGCAATAGTCATTCTCAGGGTGTGAGGTTTTGATTTTTGTCTTCCTGATGACCAGAATGGGGTCATTCTGATGTGGGGTCTCCCCATGTGCTCGGTGGCTCTTCCCACTCTTCTCTTGCACACAGATCCTTGGACCTGGGTTGTTGGAGTGAGGAGGGCAGGTCCTGGACACCAAGGGGGGACCGTCCTTACTCTCTGTCTTCAGATGGGGCTCTGGGCCACTGCCCCCACCCCCCGGATGAGTCTTTACCTTGCCCCACAGCTGCAGGTCCCTCTTCTGCCCCTGACAGGATGTGGAGTCACTAGTGCCTCTGTCTCGTAGGTCATCTGTGGGAAGTGCTCTGAGTTCAAGGCTGAGAACAGCAGGCAGAGCCGCGTCTGCAGAGAGTGTTTCCTGACTGAGCCTGCAGCCCCCACAGCCCCCAGCACCGCATTGCCCACTGAGCCCAAGCAGAACACACAGGTGGGTAGTCCTGGACAGATGGGGGAGGCACCTCAGCGGGTTCCACGGGCTCTGGAACCAGGGAGAGCCACTTGGAGCAATCAGCAATGGAATGCAAAAGATTGCGTCCCTGTGCACCTTGGGCTTCTCATGGCCTGAGGCTGGGGGATCATTTGTAGCCCAGAGCAGATGGGAACAGGTACCAGCTCCACCCCTGGTTTCCCTCCCACTCCTAGCAGGGTGGTGGGGATGGGCTGCGGTCAGGGTGTCTTCAGATCCCCTGGCTGTCCTGGCTCCCTCACACTTGCAGGGGAACCCTGATCTGGGTCTGTCTAAGAAGTCAAGGATGTAGGAATATTAGGATCATGGGTAGAATGGCCCCAGTGGTGAAGCCACTTGCTGTGCCCACTTGGGCTGTCTTGTTTCTGCATCTTTATTCCTGAGGGTTGTCCTGGTAACCCAGGGCTGTGGTGTGGGCTCAGTCTTGGAAGGAGTACCAGGTCTTAAGGGGCCCCATCCAGCAAGTGCTGTCAGAACCACGTTTAGATGGCCCAGGTGAACTTGTCACTATAATAGCTCTAAAACCTCACCAAAGAGGGAGGGTCAATCCAGACACGGTGGCTATAATCTCAGCCTTGTGGGTGGCTGAGGCATGAAGATCAGAAGTTGAAGCCCAACCTGATCAATTTAGTGATTTACAAGACCCTGTCTCAAAATAAAAAATTTTAAAAGGGATGGGGATGTAGCAGAGAGAGAGAGAGGAAGAGGGAGGTACACACATTGTGCATTCATGTGGTGTGTGTGTGTGTGTGATACGTGGTGTGTGGGGTACATGTAGATTTGAAGGGACTCCCACCTGAGGACTTGCTGTATTTCCCTTGCTGTATTGGCGATGCTCTGACCTGGCCAGTGGTCTCCTCCCCTCAGAGGGTCCAGCCTGCAAACGCTGCCTGAGGTCATGTGGCACCTGTACCCCTCAGTCTGACCTCCAGTGGTCACTGGAGCAAGTGAGGCTGAACCCAGCCCCTGTCCAGTCCTCACTGCATCTCAGGGGCCAGCTCCTCTTGAGCAGTGGCCCTGGCCCTGCCTCCTAGGCAAGGGAGTGACCATTGCAGGTGAGACCACCCCTAACCTGTGTCTCTGCGTCCTTGGAAGCTGCCCGTTGCAGATACCCAGCCCAGCGTGCTCTGCAGCCCTCTGCGGCTATCGGAGGATGGTGTGGCCTGGATTGAGGTGTGGGCTGCCATCCCCACCTCAGACTGTCAGGTGCTACGGCTACAGGGAAGTGGCCAGGTGCGTGCTTCATACCACCCTCCTGCCCCTTAGGCCTAAGCTGCCTACAGTAGGTCTGTAGGTGCCGACCCACTCAAGCAGTGTGACCCGGAGCCTAAGTTTCCCTTTATGTCCAGCACAGCCCTCTCCTCCTCACTCATAGGAAGACAGGAGTCCATGATGCCAAGACCCCAGATCCAGCCAGGGTTAGACGTGGGGCAGGGAGGGGCACAGAGGGCTGACCCCGCTTTCCCATGCGGTCTTTCATTCATTCATCCACACATCCTGGGTGACTGACGGGGTGGGAAGCCACAGAGCCTGACCCGGGTGGGCCTGCCCCAGTCAGAGACCCTTTTGCAGCCCTTCTTGGCCCCAGATGCCACCTGCCCTTGTCCCAGGTCCGATTCTGCTTCTCATCCCCTGTGCAGCATTCCCCTGGGGGCTGAGTGTCCACGAGGTGTCACAGCTCAGGGAGAGCCCCTAGGCAGCCTGCCCTGGTGACAGAGGGCAGGGCAGCCATGTCCACCAGGCGTACCTGGCTCAGTGTCTTCTCGGCGTGGGGAGCTGGGCACAGCTGCCGGGGGGATTCACTGAGCCTCTCTCGTGCTGCAGGATGGCCAGCTGTTGAACACCATCCCTCTGCCCAGCTGCACAGTGTGTGTGCCAGACCCCAAGGAGGTGCGGGAGGCTGAGCACACGTGGAAGCTGCAGCAGGGCCGGCGATCCTGGTACCTGAGCGCCCCCTCTGCGGAACTGCAGCGGCGCTGGCTGCAGGTTCTGAGAGCCACAGCCAGCAAGGATACAACGCAGGATAGTCCAGGCGGCCCGCAACCCCAGGCCCTGGCAGATACAGCCGCTCCATGAACAATCCTCCTGCTGCTCTTTACACTGCTACATAGGGCCTGTGCTCTCCAGGAGGGTGACATTGGAGCCACGTGAAGGAATGAGACTCTCAGGATGCTGAGAATAGGCTGATGGCCTGGAGCCGGGGCCCTTCTGGGGGAAACTGAGGCCCAGAGAGGAACAGCCACCTTCCCAAGATGACCCAGCAAGTCCAGGGAAAGAGCTTGGCCTCCAGCTTCAGCCCCACCAGTGTGGCCAGAGAAGGGAATATGGGCCACTGTCAAAATACATGTCATCTGAGTGAGCTGAGCAGTGGTGCCTCCTCCAAAGGGCAGAGGGCCATGAGGGTGCTGCCCAGGGCTGGTAACGTCCCCCCAAGTCTGCAGTCATTGCTGGGCTGGTAGGGCTGCCTACAGCTCGTCCTGGCCTCTGGCCTCCTATCTGCACTCTGTGAGGTGCCTTGTGATCTGCTTCTCCTGGGCTCCACTCCCTTGTCTGCCTTCTGCCAAGCCTGGAGCCACTTGTGGAGGGGCGAGTGGTGACCTCCCATCCCTCTCTGGACACATGCTGCCAGGCCCTGGGTGGCAGCTATGGGAAATTGTCGCTGCCCCTTTGCAGGCAGACACAGCGCTTCTCCACCTAAATAAATGCCAGCTGTCAGCAAGCGGGCACAGCCTCAGCGTTCTCTCGTCCTCTCCTCAGTGGGGTTACCCACTAGGCAAGCATCTGGGGGAGGAATAGAGGACAAGTGACCAAATCGCAAGGACTCCAGCAGCAGCTCCGTGTTCCTGGTCCTGTGAGGGGTGGCTGGGCAGCTGTGCTGTACGGCAGAGCAAGGGTCTTGTGTACAAGACATGCTTAGTCGTCTTCTCCTTGCTGGAACAAAATACCCAACACTCATAGTTAATGACAGAGTTTATAGAGGTTTCAGTCCAGTCGCTGGCTCCAAGGCAGGGTGGCCTGGCAGAGGAGGCTTCCTTACAGTGTGGCAAACGGGAAGGAGAGAGAGATCAAGGGAGGAGGAGGGAGGTGCACCCTTCTAGGCCAGGGCCACAGGGACCCACCTCTTCCTACCAGGCTTTGCCTCCCAACATCACACCCAGCTATAACTATCTGCAGACTGATCCAGTGATGAGCATCCCATGCCCATGACCAAGTCACCTCCCAAAAGCCCCACCTATGAGCACAGGAGGCTTTGGAGGCACCTCTAGATATAAACCACGACATGGGGACATGACAAAAGTCAAGGGGGTGGACATGAAGAGTGCACCAAGTCCTGAGGGCCTCTGGGAGAGGGGGGAGACTTAGCAACCAATGATGGGGTTCTGGTCCCCATGTCCCCGCCCCCTAACATCCACAAAGCACCATGTGGGGACAGCTACATGGGGATTGAGGGAAGGCAGGGTGTAGGGGCCCAAAATGAGTGATTGTCACAGGTGAGATTATAGAATCGCAGTGTGGGGACAGCACAGGTGGGGTGGGAGGGCACATGGGTGTGAGAGGAGGCAGAGGTAAGCAGGGACTGGCCACAGGTGGGGGGGGGTCCCAGGGGGGCTGTGTGGAGGCCGCCGCCCACACCTTGGCCTCTGCCCTTTGTTTACCGAGCTGGATCCTATTTCACACTGAGGACTGAGGCTCAGGGAGCAGAAGCTGCCAGCACACCTCTACACCGGACAATTCCTGCCTGGGACTGGGGTCAGGTCCTGGCTGCTGCTGCTCAGGGAACCTCACAGTCAGGCTCCCTCACCCCTCTCCCTTTCCGGCTCAGGCAAGGCAGGGGTTGAGGAGGTGGGAGGGCGCCACCCACTGGTGGGAACTTGTCTGTGTCGCTCTCTCCTCTGAGCCACACCCCTCTGTCCTGCCCAACTGCTCCAGCCCTACCAGGGCTCTCAACTGCTTCTGTCATCTCACCACCACCCTGAAGTTCCCACTTGATAGCTGAGGAAACTGAGTCACGGAAGGGAGGCTCCTATGAGTCTCACGGCTCCAGAACCACATAAGCAGCCGAGGCACAGCAACTTCAGCAGGAGCTCCCCAGCCCCAAGGACAGGCCCCGAGAGTGACTCTGTAGGGACAAGGAGTCACCTCAGGCCTGGGGCAGGATGTGCCCTAGATTCTCACCCACCACAAGGACCTGCCAGATGCCCGTTGGCCTAGGTCTGAGTTCGTTTTGCTCTCACACTGCTGGCCACAGGACGTTGTGCCCGCTTTTCCAGAATAGGAAGCCATGGCTCCGAAGGAGGTAAGGAGGCCTCTGCCTGCAGAGCCATCAACTGCTGCCCTAGGGAGTGGTCCCCCCTGGGTCGCCCCAGTTGCTCTCCCGCTGCACACCCAGAACAAAGGGTGCAGAGAGCAGCTGTCTCCGGTCTCCACACCTGTGTGTCTGGGCTGCCCGGCCTCCACCCATCTGTGGGGCAGTGACATCGGCCACACCCCAGATGAGCTGACCCTAGGCCTCTTCCCCTCTTCCCCATCCTTCTTCCTCTTCCTTCTCCCCAAGGCCAGCTCTGACCCTCGCAGGCCGAGGAGACCCTCTGGGTTGGGAGGAAGGGTTGCTGGGAAGAGGTCCCTGCTGCAGGTGCCTGATTGTCACTGAATCAAGTCCTGCGCAGGGGCTCTGCTGTGCCTACTGCTGTGCCCATGTAGGCTGCAGTCTAAGGCTCCTGGTGCCAGGCTAGGAGCAGAGCTTGCAGGGCATTGGTACACAGGAGAAAGAAGGCGCAAGGAGCAGTGAGGGGCCTGCTGCCTCAGAGGATGCTGCAGAGGTCCTGACCAAGCAGCCCCTGCAACCACCTGAGAAGAGAACCATGGCTCAAGGAGCATCTTAGGCAGAGTGAAAGTGAGGCCTAGAGAGGGGTGTACACTTGTCTGAGGTCACACAGTGAGTTAGGGACCAGCTGGGATTCATGTGTTCCTTCCTGTGTTCCCGCACCAGGCTCTGCTGCTACTCACTCTGGACCCCACCTCTTGAGTACCCAGCTCCATGGGGAGCAAATGCATTGAATGACACTTGGGTTTCTGGGACCCAGGGGATTGAACACCACCAGTACTGCCCATCCCCACCACACTTCCTGCTTTGTTTCTCCTGCCATCCTGTCCCTGCCAGTCTCATTTCATTAGCCTTTGGAGTGTCAGCTCTGTCCACTTCCAGGCCTTTGCATCTGCTGTTTCCTGTGCCTGGGAGCTCTCCCTGCAGCTCCTGATGTGGTTTCTTTGGAGAACCCTTGCCCCCAATTATCTACTGTTTTTCTAAACTCCTTGTTCTCTTGTTTAACCTGCTTCCTCAGGCAGAATAGAGGCTCTGTGAGAGCAGGATGCATCAGGACCTGGCACATAGCAGCTGCAGACAGCCCTGGAAAGGCTCTGGGTCATTCTTGTCCTAACACCTGGCCTCAAGCACTTTGGGCCTGAAACCCTCATTGTACAGATAGAAAATGAGGTCGAAGAGGCCTGGCATTTTCCTGTCTCACCATGGTCACTGGGTCCCAAGGACACGAGAGACAGCTCCCCCTCAAGAGTCCAGCTCCACTGTAAAGACAGGTGCACTAAGGCTGGCCAGGCTACCACACCCACAGGAGGGCAGAGGGGATTTCAGATCTGACAGGGTCATACCCTCTCCATGGATACAGGAGGATGAGACCCAAAGCCTGTGCCTTGGCGTGCCCTGACCTTTACCCTGTGGTAACCAGCGGGAGCCATGGGCCCTCTCTTGCCTCCACAAACCTGTGCCCATCTAAGCAGCTGAGACTGGTGCTGAGTGTCTTGGGAGGTGAGTGGGCCCACTTACATCTCTGCAGAGCAGTGGTCCTTTGGGGGATGTCAGGTGGCTGCATGGTGACCCCATGGCCTGATCCTCTTGAGTGCCCACTCCAGACACCTCCTTGCAGGCTCCCAATGGGTGGGGCCAGCTGCCTACGCAGGCAGCCCCTGGTACAGGGCAGGTGGAGTTCAGCCCATGTACTCTTCTCAGCATCTCTGAGCCAAGGTCTCTCCTCCAAGGCCAGGGCTCCTCCTTCAGTTCCAGGGCTGTTGAATGAAGCTGGGGCTAGAGGTCTGGGTGGGCCAAGGAGGGAGACAACAAGGTCAGTCTGGGCCCCGTTCTACATCCTGCACATTCCATCCCATAAAGTCAGGCCTCCCTGGCCTTTCTTTCGTGGGTTTCTGGGTTCAGTGCCTACTCCCAGGTAGAGGCTCTCTGTGACCAAGGCTCCTGCAATCCTCCTAGAAAGCTGCATCTCAGCCACAACAGCCACGGCCACCTCCTACCTGTTGGGTTTCCCTTGAGCCCTGAGTATAAGCATTCCAGGGGATGCTGGAGGATGATGCCCAACCTCTCTGTTGTCCTTGTTCCCCCAGTGCTTCCCCTGCCCCCTTGCCAATGCACATACCATGCTGGTCCCAGGCTGACCTCACGCTTGATGCAACCCTCTCTGACCACCAGGGCAGGACAACGTGAGGCTGTGGCCATGGGACACTGCCTCAGAAGAGCTGGACTCTGGGTGTGGGTCTTCTGGGCTCTACATTTCTGGAAAGTCAAGGGTGTTCAAGGAAGCTGACTCCATCCTCTGCATCCTATGACTTGGGCAGAGCCAGTGAGCATCCCCAGTCCCTCAGCGCTGGGGATTGGTCAGCGTGGCCATGAGACTCGAGATAGGGTCCTGTGACCGTGGAAGGAGTGGACCACTGTGAGCTCTGGCTGTCTTGGGTCCAGAAGGAAAAGGCTCCCAGTGAGGCCCTAACAGAGGCAGAGGGACATCTGTGTTGGTTACTTTTCTCTAGCTGCTAAGACAAAATAACTGACACCCAAAGTTAGAGGGGAAGGGTTTGATTTAGCTTACGGTTCATAGAGGTTTCGTTCATAATCAGCTGGCCCCAAGGCAGGTGGCATGGCAGACAGGATTGCCGAGGAAAAACAACAGTTCATGACAGCCAGAAGGTAGCAAAAGCAGCAAGAGACCTTAAAAGCGTTGTTGTAGTCAGCAGGATGGGAAAGGGGATACATTAAATACAGGACACATAACTTATAAGGTTATTTTATAATAACCCAGAGTCAATGCAAGGAGTGCCAGAGATTAACTGCACACCAGAAGCCCAAAACATTCAGCTGAGGGCCTGGATCCCAGCAGTTTCCCACACAAGTCCAGCTAAAGGCTTAGAGTCCAAGGCAGCGTCCTCCTCGAGTCCAGCCAGTGGCCTGGAGCCCACGGCAACGCCTCATGCTTGTCGGTATTGAAGGCCCAAAGGCCCGTGGTAGAAGCCAAAAACCTATGCTCGTGAGATGAAGGATCTGTGCCACCAGGCTGAGGGATCCACATCGGAGCCGGGAAGTGATGGTCATGGTGAAGGATCAGAGCTCCCCGGATGAAAGCAGCAGCTATTCCCAGTAGCAGTGAGGTCCCGATCTCCTCCTCCGATGAGAACAGCCTCGTTTGCATCAGGAAAACCATCCACAGCAAGCTTCTCCCAGAAAATCAACAGGCCAAGATCTCCCTCCCCAGTTCTCTTTTTATGGCTGTTGGTAACAATCTTCAGGTGGATCCTCCATGCCCAGACTATGCTGATTCAGTTCAGCTGGGCGTTACAAACTGACCCGTAGTCAATCCACTGCAAGCGTCTTTCTGATGCTAGCATTAACCAAGAGGTAGTCGCTGTCAGGTGAAATGGAATACCCAAGAAGGCCTCTAGGTGTGTTGCCTC